ATGGCAGTCAGATTCGGCCGCGAAAGTCCATAAGGTGAAAAGTCTACTCGTATACCTCGTATGTGGTGAAAGGTCAACTTGTATGTGGCCTGTGGTATTGTACGACGTGACACGTGTTGTGAAACGGAAAATCACTAGCTTTATCTTGACGGTAAAGGTTTACCCTTAATGTTCATAGTTGTGCAGCTGAAGAGGTAGATGGAGTCGCGATGAAATATTCTAAATCATTAGAATCCTGTCGAGTCTTCTAATACAAAAGTCCAGCTTGTAAATGCTCCCATCCTATTCAAGATGCAGATTATGCTCTATAATATTGTCCATTTACAAATATTCACGGACATATCAGCAATCGTTTTAATATTTTTTAAATTTAATTCGGGTCTCGATTTGGGTACCGACCGTAACACTAACAGAAAACGTCAAAAGGTAAACTTGTCCATAACATTCTAATGGATTTTATGGAAATATTTTAAACAGAAATTGTCTGTATTTAAACGCTGCCTAACAAGAAACACCATTCGATAAACTTTTTTCATACCGATCGGAAGCGTAGGTGTCATCGATCACGAAAACGCAAATTAAAAATACCGTTGAAATCAAGTTTGTTTATAAGGAGCAAACAAAGGACAAGAATAGATCTATTTATCGATTGCGTAGTATTCCGTGGTGTGTATTAGACGCATGCGTGGCGTGCCATGCCACGGATCTACTTTCTTCGAGAGCCCGCGTGAATACATTTGCAAAAATGCAACACAGCAACACTGTCATTGTTATAAAGATTATTAGAACGTACTAGGAATTACGTTTATATTAAATATCGACGTGCTAGTGTTTCTCAATTTTATATCTACGAGGCAAATGTCAGAAACATTCTGCCAGCCGTATTACCGAGCAAATCATGCGAAAATTATTTTTGCTTCGATCACATTTTCATTTCTCCCGATTCACAAAATTAGTTTGGCGTTCAACGTATCAATTTTGTATCGACAAATGTGTCGTCGCGGGCAGGTTAGAAGGTTAGAAGTTCCGAACTGCCGGGACTCTGCTAATCGTGACACCTGTTAGTAATAATAAGTAAGTACGTAGTGCATAGAATCACGTGATCCTTGATACCAGTCATTTCATTACAGTTTTCAGATCTTACGCCTTTCTTCGTTTTGACAGTAAATGCAACACGTTTACTGTATTTGTGAAATATATAATTATTGTTTTTTACGCAACAACGTGTTCCTTTAAAGGGTAAATTTCCCCATCGACGATGTCGAGCGCGTTGCAGGCTTGTTTAGAAGAAGAAAGGGTAGCCGGAGCTGATGAGTTTCCCCTTGGACGACATGAATTATTGCGATCGATTGTACGCCGTGGGCGCTGCTAAAGGTGACCGATGTGGAGTTGACACTCAAGGAGCCTGTGGGACCAACACATGGACGTGTGCGTGCGTGCTGCTAGTCCACCGGAAACAGATACCAGACTCTACGATGATTGGTACACTCGCGACCCAAACTTACGTACCAATTGGTACCAGAATAGATGGCGTGAGTTGTAAAAGGACGCAATACGAGACAGAACGATAGCATGCGTGATTTTTTCTCGGAACAGTCCCCTGGGGCCCCGAACTTAACCTAAATGTCCCGGTTTTTTTATAGAAATTTCGTTTCTTAGCACAATGTTGGTAACAGCCCGTAATATCAAGAGAAAAAGAACTCGATCAAGTTCATATTTACTTAGTAAATTCGTAGAATTTTGATCGATATAAAATACAGTAACAAAGCGTTCCGGAATGACAAGAATTCATAATAGAAAGGAAACGTTCTGCAGGTTGAAACTTACACAGGGCTGAAACTCGTCCGTATCGAGGGGTATTACATTTATCTCGCCGGAAGTTTGCTGAAAGACATCCGGAAAGAGGAAAATGCTAAACAAAAGGCATTCTAAAGTTTTAATCCGTCGCGAGAGGCCTAAGCCGAAAAGCCTAACGCCGAGGACGTCATCACGCTCGATCGTGCTCGTCTAGCTATTCCTTCAGATTACATTAATTCGATCAACGAATGCCGCTTATCGTACGCGCCATGATCCCGCGTGAAAAATTTTTTATTCCAACGATTGTCATCTCGACATTTACCTTGAATTTGCCGCAAGGGTGAAAATTCATTTATTTTCCGATTTCCTCTGACTGATAAAGCCATTTCAATTACATTTTAATCCCACAATTTTCATCCAGTCTTTTAAAATTACAAATAACACGCCTGGAACGGTTTATTCTTTTTTTATAATTTCACTAATTTACTTCTCATTTTTGCAAAGAGGAAATCGAACGTAAATTTCCATCGATCGAGAAAACAATAGGTGGGATAAATCCGTGGGCTATTTTGCAGATCTTTACGAATCGGATTATAAAGAGCACAGGGGAGGGTTGCCTTAATTGGTTCGTCGCCTACGTTGAACCACTGCTCTAATCTAATGAAACTACTCAATTCGTTCTAGCAATCATTATTCACAGCTGGGAGTTGGGGGCCAGCGTGTTAGTTAGCGGTCAAATATTTAAACAACAGATCAAAACGTTTGTTCTATAAAAAAAAAACATCGAAGCCCTTGGGCTACAGGAACACCGTCATCGTTGTTTCAACATTTTAATCCAGAATTAAATATATATCTTTCTATTCGTTGTCGAAAGAAAAGCTTTTTATTTTTCCCACTTTGCTTCGATAACCCAACACCCGTCAACTCTGACAACATAAAATCTCTCGTAATTGTTATTCCAGAACCTTTTTCTATTTTTGTTACAGCAGTTTCGATGTTTCTTTCGAGGCACGAACTTCTTCGGGCAGAAAATTCGAGCGTGTTTAATTCACGGCGATCCGGACAAACTAACAAGAGCCTTTCTTCGAGGATCGCGAAGGATCGCGTGACGGGCCACAGAAGCATCGGTTCTATTCTCTCTTTCTATCTTGTCGTTCTTGCTTTTTGACGTCGTATCTTCTGCATTCCCGTTCTGCTTTTTTTCCCCACTCGCCAATTCGACCAATAGACCCTCGGAGAACCCGCTCCATAATCCATGCACGCATCAGGACCTGTCTTCTCATCGAATCGACGGAAAGGAACCTTCGTCCGCTTTCGGGTTACGGCTCATCGCGAACCAGGATCTCTACGCTAAATTCCTCGAATTCTTTCCTTAATTTCGGGTTATCGAGAACTATAATTTGATTCCACGTTTTACCGCAGAACCTCGTTCACACGACCACTTGTCCCTCCCGGGACATGACAAATTGATAATTTACAAAATATACATCTCGTACCTTTCGCACTTCCCTCGAGGCAGACAATAACCACAGGGTTTCGCAACCGGAGGGCCACGGAACTTTTAATTGTCATTGCTCGCGAGCCATCGTCGAGAGATACACGGTTGCTCGAAGCTTATTAAAATTTATCTAGCGTTATCGCTCCAATATGTATTCGAGAGCTTTACCTTGCCAGCGAATCGGAATTAAAACAAACAGTTTCACGAGAATTTATTCCAATTACAAAACGTTACGTTATAATTTATACACGATATTCCCCGTACAGCTTTTCGCTACGGTCTTGCACAATCACTTATGGTGTATTGCACTTTCTAGAAAGATTTACTCAACAACCAGGAAAACTGAAGGACAACGTATACGAAGATTTTCGGAGCGTGCTATCATTTTATCTGCCGGTCGTTCGTGTATTTACATTTTTCTTCGGAGGAATCAGTTCAAGGTAATTTTACCATATCTGTACGAAGCTACTATTTATACGAATTTTTAACATTCTACTAATATCAAGTATGTTGAACCGGAGTATTTCATGTAATACGGTACATATGTAACGAGGGATAAGAAATGATTTTTTAAACGATGTCATTGAGTCAACGTTCACAAAAACAATTATTATATTTTTAATTGCAGCGTTGCTTTGCTGGTACAAGTAACGAGAAAGATAACAAGGAAGCAGAAAAGGAGAGGAGAGGGAGTGTTGCGTCTGTATTAGGGAATAACCTTCCTGTAAGTTGGCAATGATGTGTATATACGTATGGTGAAAGAGTAGTGGTCGAGGAGCTGAAAGAGGCGTAAAATGTAGATAGAAATGTGGAAGTAAAATGTGTTAAAGAGTACTAAAAGAATTCAAACAAAAAGGAGAATATTACTTAAAATTGTTTATTCGTTAATCACGTTTATTGAATTTAATAAAGTATTATTTATGTTAAAAGATAATTCCGGGATCTGAAATTTATTAGAACCACGTGCTAACGCAACAGTCTGGAGCCTTACCTGGAGAAAGCCTTACAACGGACAAGTCCACTAGCAGGCCCTGCCTTGGACGACAGAGTATCGGGTGAAGAGTGTACTTACATATAGCAACGAAGGGGTCGTGAGAGCGCTTGCGAGAGAGTCGAGTGCGTAGCCCTCTGGCGGCGAATACGTGAAGTGACGCGATGTAGTCATTGTTGCAATTACTAGCATATCTAGATGGGAGATCGTTCATACTCACCGCTTATCGAATATTAATAAAATTCTCTGGATATTTGTACCGTGGATCAATTACTTCCGGAAGCTCTTCTACGATATAATTAAACGGATGTCGAGAAAAGGGACTACATTCGTAAACGCATTCACGGGCCATAAGAAGGCTGTTAGCGGGGCCGGATTTGAGCCGCCGGACCCCTTTCGTAAGGGTTACGAGGGTACAATTGATATTTACCGGGCACGAGTTGCTGGTTTTCGACGAAAAGGTACCCCGATACGGATGCTCGTCGCGACTGCCATCGAAAACTTTCACACTCACTAAACGGAAGTAACTTTTTGGGCAGGGAAGCACACGGACGTTCTTGGATAAATTTCGTCCACTGTGTACGGTCCGGCGTGGCTCGGCGCGGCGTGGCTCGGCGCGGCGTGGCTCGGCGCGGCGTGGCGCGGCGCGTCGCGGCGCAGCGCGGCTGCTGGATCCTCGGATCCAGTGTGGCGGAACGCGAGTAGTGGGGTCGATGCGAGTAGTGGCGTTGTCGGATTGGCCCAAGAGGAATTGGTCTTGGATAAGAGGGTGCGAGCCGACGGTCAAAGCGAACAGAGAGGGAGACTCCGGGTGAGCGAGAGAAGAGTCGGCGGTGGGGAGGACGGCGAACTAGAGAGGGACTCCGGGAACAGTTTGGATGCACACTGTGCAAGGACGGTGATTCAGTTAGCGGCGAGCCGCCGTCGGGAAAGCGTCGTCGTTGTCGGTTTTTTTCCTCCTAGCGTTGCGTTTTCGCGACACACACGCGCGCGGACGCGCGTTTACAAAATCCTCCGGTCGCTCGCGTGGAAAACGAGACCCTACCGCGTCGCAGTTGCGTTCGATGGTGGTCGAGGAGACGCGGGGAACAATCGGCGAGCCGGAAGTATCGTGATTCCCGATCGTGGCAAATTTTTTTCAACGATCGACGATGCGAGTCGGAAGCGTGATCGAGAGAAGCGCCGGGCGGCGGGCACCGATGTTCTGAGAGGTTGGTCGATCCGGTCAACATGACGAGTTAGAGCGTGGAATCGAGCAGGATCGTGCACGGGATCGCTACTCTCGTCCGAGTCTCTTGCGAGAGCGCAGATCGATTTCCCGAAGAGAGGACGATTCGCGCCTAGGTGACACAGCGAGGGTGTCAGAGAGGGGGAGGGGCAGGGGAAAGAGATAGGAGATAGGAGAGAGGAGAGAGAGAAGAGAGAAGAGAGAAGAGAGAAGAGAGAAGAGAGAACGCGGGGATAAAAGAAGATTGGCGAGAATGAAGAGTCGAGCGGCATGGGTGCTCGGAGTGCTCCTCGGGGCGATCCTGTTTCGTCGGGGGAACACGTTGGCGGGCAGCGAGTTGTACGCGAAAACGTTTTCCAGCCAGCAGCATCCGTCGGACCCGTGCTACGACGAGGACAGGCCACGACGTTGCATACCGGATTTCGTGAACGCGGCGTTCGGCGCCGCGGTGGAGGCGTCCTCGACCTGCGGAAGCGGCGGTCCCACGAGATACTGCGACGTGACCGAGCAGCCAGGAGGTAGCACCGGCATAGGTCAGTGCCACGTCTGCGACGACAGCACGCCGCGGCGACGGTTCCCCGCCAGCTACTTGACGGACCTGAACAACCCCAACAACGTGACCTGCTGGCGCAGCGAGCCGCTGGTCACGTCACAGAGTTTCTCCGCGCCGCCGGACAACGTGACCTTGACCCTCTCTCTAGGAAAGAAGTACGAACTGACCTACGTGAGCCTGCAGTTCTGCCCGAAGGCGGCCAAGCCGGACTCGATCGCGATCTACAAATCGATGGACTACGGTAAGACGTGGCAGCCGTTCCAGTTCTACTCGTCCCAGTGTCGTCGCGTCTACGGCAGACCGAACAGAGCCACCATCACCAAGGCGAACGAGCAGGAGGCGAGGTGCACGGACAGCCACAGGTACACGGGCGGCGACGGCCTCGGTCCCGTCGGCAGGATCGCGTTCAGCACCAACGAGGGCCGTCCGTCGGCCGCCGATTTCGACAACTCGCCGGTCCTGCAGGATTGGGTCACCGCCACCGACGTCCGCGTCGTCTTCAATCGCCTCCACATGCCCCAGCAACCCTCCCAGGAACAGGTCTCGCAGCTGGCCAACGGCGACAATCGCGATCACGGCCTTGACCTCGGCCTCGAGGAGCTGACGAAACGCGAGAGGGAGCGGGACGAGAGGCTCAAGAGCCAGAAGAACCTGATACGCGGCTCCCTGGACCCGCTGGCGACCGCGTTGCCGTCGGTCCATCAGGTGATCGCGCCCCAGGAGATGCAGTCCAACGACGCGGTCGACGTACCGGAGATGAGCTTCGCCGCGGTGACCGTATCCTCGCCGACCACCACCACCACCCTGACGAACCAGCTCGGTATCACCACGCTCGCCCATCACTACGCCGTCTCGGACTTCGCCGTCGGCGGCAGGTGCAAGTGCAACGGTCACGCGGCAAGGTGCATCCCGGGCAAGGACGGCGAGCTTGCCTGCGAGTGCAGGCACAACACCGCCGGCAGGGACTGCGAGAGGTGTCGCCCGTTCCACTTCGATCGACCCTGGGCCAGAGCCACTACCAGAGACGCTAACGAATGCAAAGGTTAGTCCCAGACCGTTGCCCAAAACTGCACCCTTCACCCTTTCAGCGCCGAGTCGTGGCACGTTCACTCTCTGCTCTTGACCAATCCTGAAATTTCATTCAGAGATACAGTATCCGGCGTATACGGGGACTGGAGCAATGCTGGCAAATCAAATATGTCGGATAGTTGGAGTATATTTATATATCAAGTGATAGAAACGAGGAACAGAGTCATAGACTAGGTGTACGAGTAGAGATCCAATGTATTCTTTTGGTCCATTTTTGTTGGGCGCTAGAATCTCATTACCAACAGGTCACAGAAACGAACGGTAGAGCAAATGAGACAGAAAATGAAATTACAGAAACATTTCTGGTCACACGTTTTTTTCTCGAAAATGCGTATGATTTTGGGGGTATGTCTATTCATCAAAGATTCACAGTTACTTGCGTTATCAATTACTGAACTTGCATCAGAATCTTCGGTAAATTCAAGCTCACACGTTGGAGACGACGGTAGAGTCGAACGAGGTACTCGATCAGAATCTTGAAATTGATTTTGTTGAAACTTTTGCCTTCTCGCGTTTGACTATATCCACGCGATTGTTCGCTTATCGGGTTTCCAGATGTTTCCCATCGTTTCTAAAACGGCAGAGCAACGTTCTCGACTAATTCGCAAGTTGATTGTCGTGAATCTTTACAAAGCAGAACCTCCACGCGTTCCTCGCCCGACCGCGACGACCAGAACGCAACTCATCATTTATGGCAAAATTACCTGCTTGGAATCTTAAGAACCATTTATGCGCTGCATTGTCAGCGATATAACCTTCCTCGTGGATGACACAAATGCTCCAAGTAGCCGTAACGTCTTTAGAATCGTGATTAAACTCGTACAGGTCGGGGCTCCTTTTATTATTAGCATAGAATGGAAAACTACGCTGTAATCCAAACCAAAGGAAAATATACGGTGAATGCACAAATGTTGCCAGTTACAGTACGGTATAAAATTATTTATTCTTTCAAGACTCTTTTTCCAAATTCCCTAAAACTCTGCTGTTCGTTCCGTTTTACCTCGAAAACTTGAGTGAAATGTTCAACTGTTCCTCTCGTGTACCACTAAATGTTGACGAAAGTTGAAAGCAAAGCTGAAGAAACTGAACGAGATCCCTGTTCCTTATCGTTCCACCATAATCTAACTTTTTTTTCTAAACAGTATCAGATGACATTCGCTAGCCAGGCCAGAGACCCGAGCGATAGTCTAATCGTCTTGCTTCGTCCCCCCATTCACGAACCACTATCTCAGGAATCTTATTAAACTTGTCGAGCCATAGTAAGTACTATTGCCTGCATTAATTCTATATTTGATGCGACTATTAACATCTGTTACCCACACTTAAATACCATATGCTCGAACAGATTTAATTATAACTTCGTATCTTAAGTGTTTGTTTCCTTCGTTAAGCTTCGTGTCTCTTCCCCATTAGTCGTTAGTCTCACGTTCTTCCGTCTTATTCTCATTTGTTCTATTCTCCTCCAAGTACCCAATTACTCGATCAACTTGGGACATAATATTTTAATCGTTACCTTTTGGCCAACTAAAATTTTCTTAGTCGATGAATTACAGAGGGTTTTCTAATATCTTTTACCGCAATAAATCGATTATTTAAGTAAATAGAATTTCAACGATTTTCTCGAGCGGATCCGAGGCTAATTGCGAAGATCGTAGACGTTGCACGGTGTCGCGAAAATAAGAATCGCGTGTTCGTTTCTCCGTTTCTCCGTTTTACTCTTGACAATTCCGTCTCTTATTCCCGGTTCTCTGTTTTGCCCGCGGAAACTACCCCCCAGGGGCAGGGAGCTCCTTTCGGTTCACCCCTTAATTCGAAGCGGCGGAGCGTTGCCTCGAGACTCGTATATCGAGGATGTATGCTCAAATCAAAAACGTCGGGGGCCAAACCACCCTTTAAAATCGTTTCGAATCGATAAAGGACCGCCCTTTTCGCGCGCCAACGAGGGTGAATCGCGACGAAAAACCAAGAACCGTAATCGTAATTAATCGCGGAGCCATCTTCCGCTGTCGTTTCGATCGAGACGCTCAAACAACTTACGAAACACTTTTCGATAAACAGAAGAGTCCTCTTCCTCGCCGTTTTATTTTTTAGTATTGTAATACAAGGATGTTTATCTCGAATTTATATTACGAGCAGCTGAGGTCAACCAGATAGAAAAAAAAATGGTCTATTGAAAAGATATAAAATCCTTCTGCAAGAATACATTTATTTAGAAGTTAGATACAGCGGTGAATGCATTTTGGAGAAGAGAAACATTTTTTTTTTAATATTGTTAGAAACAGGGTGTTGAAAAAGGGGTACCAAACGCGAAAAAATGTAGAAAACGCGAGGTCCCGGGGTAGTCTGGTCGAATGTTGTTCCGTAACGCAAAAGGGGCGGTTCTTGTTGTTGCGGCTGGCCGTTAATTTGACGTGGCACGCGTACCGGGCTGTTTACTGCAATGAATTATGTTCTCAAGGGTCCGTTTATACGACACGCAGTTATACGCGTACGTTCCGCGATTCTTGCCCCGTACTTTTCTCCTTTTTCCCCCCTTGGCCCCTCCTTTGTATTCTTCGGGCCTTCTTCGTTACCGCTTCCTTTTCGTTTCTCTCGATTTTTCACCTACCCCCTCGGAATGTCTGCTCGAACTGCGTGGAATTCCGCCGTTCGGGACACCTTTTCATAGAGCGTATCTTTTGTAACAGACTCCCGGATACTTGCAACCAGGTAGAACGAGCAAACCGTTCCTATTACCGCGGAATTCTTTTCTATTAAAAGAAATAAATCATTCGACTTTAAAAAATTTCTACCATTCGGTGGGAATCTTCTGGCCGCGGAAACGAAAATATTTTCTCGTATATCGATGTTCAAAGGAGCATTGATCCTCGCGAAAGACCTGAAACAGATCGTTTTTTAACCCTTAAGGTGGACTCTCGATCTTAATGTTGATTTTTACCGAATTGGTAAATGGAAACCAACTTTGAAGCATTTAAAAAATAATGAACCAATGAAGAATCACAGAAATTTTCAAACAATTACACAATTATGGCCCCCAATAATCCATTTAAAGATTGAACGTCTGCTTTAAAAGATTGGTTCGCGATGCAATGTTTAATTAACGAGAAAAATACGTAGATTCGTTCTTGTTCCAATGGTTTACGGACACGCTGTGTACGTTTCGCGAGACACAGAATGCGTCTGTTGGAGTAAAAATTGAATTAGAAGGGAGGAAGGAGATTACGAGAAGGATCGGCTTGAAATTCATCGGGGTCTCTCCCGGCCAAAAATTATTACAGTCAAAGAAGAAAACGATGGAAGAGGCCCCGGCTCGAAATTCGTCGCGCCCTTCCGTGAACAATTACGCGAACGACGACGGTTGGTTTTGCTCCGCATCGCGGGACAGAAACACTCGACGATTTTATTACGGGGATCCTTTTCCAATTAAACGGTTGCTATGGCGATGCTTACGGCGCGTTCATGATGTCGCAGGTACACAGATTTTCCCTTGTATCGTTACTCGTAATTTCCCTAACCCCGTATTTAATTATCGAAATAATCGAATAAACTGTAATTGTACGCTAAACTGTTCGCCTTCGCGGCGAAACAGGTTTACCCCATATCATTTTACGATTTAATGCCGTAATACCCGCGTGCTCTAACGCGTTTGCTCGAGCTACGAGACCGGACACCTCAATTTTTATCCATTTAACGCGTTAATATTAAATAGACTATGTAGCGGAGGAAGAATCGCGTGAAAACAACAATTTATATTTTAATGGATGGAGAAAATATCGTTCCAGTTTCAACAATACAAGAATCTTTTTAATTTGCTACACGTACAGATTGTAAAATCAATTTATTACCGAAATAACGGAGCAAGGGAGGTTACAATTTGCATACGTTTAAGCTTGATATCGTAAACGCGAAGGAAAGCGATTATTTCCAGCCCTTACACGGTCGCGAACGTTAAGGGGGTTAATAGAAAGATAGAAATCTGTGAGAGTTCTCTCGGTTAACTCGAAAGCAGTGTTTTCTTAGGCAGGTCAAGAATCACACTCTTTCTCGTCAAGGCCGGTTCCCGGGAACGATAATTCGCGTTCTGTGAAATCCATTTATGAAGAGGAGACTCGAAACGCCGCGGCGCGCCGCGAAGAATCGATAAAGGAGGTCGGTACACGACGAGGCAAAACGGTTTTCGTTCGAGCGGGGAGGCAAGTAGAGGAGAAGACGAAAAAAAAAAGGAAAAAAAAGAAAAGGAGAAGAGTGGAAGAACGGCAGGGGGAGCTCGAATTAAATTACATTTTAATTTCGCGGCCATTTCGCAGCGCGCGGTCGCGATATGCCAAATATCCGGTGCAATTTACATTTTAAATTGGACACTTCTTGCCGCGATTCGAGGGTTTTCGTCGGTGACTGGCATCATCGTCTGACGAGGTTGTCGTCGTCGTCGTTTCGGTGAAAAAAAAAAACGCCTGTCAACCCCTTCCGCGTCGGAGATTTTCGAAAAAGCACGAACGCGCACGCGGCGCCGCGTCGCGATTCCTCCTGCGAAAAAAACCCACGGTCGAAACCTTCCCTCGATTATTCGGTTCAAGTATTCCCGCTTTTTCCGGGGCGCGTCCTTTTAAATTCGCGTTTCAATCTCCCCGTCGCGGCGTCGGGAAACGTTTTCAACCCGTTTACCTTCCGCCGCGTTACGATTTTTACTCCGGACGCGTAATTAAGCGTGTTTACGTTACTTGTGAGCGACCTAAATTCCTACCTGATTACCGTTAACGTAAAGAAAGGAATTAAAGAATTGTTCTGACCGCGATGGAAGACCGTTTGAACATGTTCGTTGTAGTTTGAATAGCCTGTAACATCTCTAAAGTACACAAAAATAGTGTGTATTAAACTCGAAAGTGGTGCAACTCTTCAAGCATCAGGTTTAAACAAAAGTTTAAACTGCAATTGAAGACCATTTGAATATGT